AACCGGAGTGTGTACCAATTATTGTCTAATTTTATTAATTAAGCATGAAAGGTATTCAAATCCGTATAGATTCAAAATTTGTGAAATTAGTCAATATTGTAATTAACAAACCATTCCAACCAGCTCCATATCATTCATTACTGCGGCAACATCAATGCCAAATGCCAATTATATACTAATTGATGATTGTTAGATCGAAGCTCATTATGGACATAAAATGTTACAAAAATCTTAGAAGTGAACCTCGATTGACTTATGTCGAGGTAGCTTAGGCAAGGTCCATGCTCAACCGGCACAGGAAGGCCATCTCTACAATACATATCCTTACAATGTTGACTAATTAAATCCACTAAAACATGGTGCCCGACTAGCCGGACCTCATCTCGCTCTAATTGTCCTATTTTTCAACCCTAATAAATTGATCATTTTTTTTAATGTATTATTTAATAGAAAAAAGTATTATATAATTAGACTGCACTAAACTATACATTTGTAATTATTAGATGAATATTTTAATATTGGGAATTTTCTCTCTCAATCTAATAATGATTATAGTTTTACAATTCAATGTAATGTCTAAACAATTTAATAAAAATATATTTTTTTGATATATCAAGAGAATAGGAGACTGTTTTAAATATGATAGTTCATTAATGCTGTGAAAATGATTTCGGCTCAATTATATTTTAATATAAATATAATGTGATATTAAATAAGTAATTGAGGAACTTTAAAAGTTAAATCCATTAGTAAGTGAAGAAATTAATTCCTTGATTGCATTAGCATTTTCGTTTTGAGACAGTATTTAAAAAAATTAATTTTTTTATATGCACCAAACCGATATAGAGATTATGTGATTATGATCATCCAAAACAAGAATGATTTCAAAATGTTCAAAAACTAACTCAAAAATATTTTGACTATAAATAAAAAAAATGGTTGAGGAATTAAAAATTTTACTTTTGATTAAACCCATAATAAATTGATATATATTAACTCTTTGATATCATGTCACATTGTACAAAATATTATATACTCAATTTATTTATTTTTAGTAAACTTAATTTAGCTTTTTAACTTTTCATATATAAATTTTAAATAAAAATTCAACAATTTACATAAACAATAATTGAAAAGTTTTTTCTTCTTATATGAAATTGTTGTTAAGTACTTTAATTTGATAAAAAAATTAATTATTATTTATATAATATGTTAAATTTTTATTTAAAATTTATATTTTAAAAATCAAATTAAATCTATTAAAAATAAGTAAAAGAAGTAATTTTTTTCCAAGTACAAAGCACTATAGCCATTTCATTATGGTTACTGTTATTTGTATCGTTTTTGAATTTTTTTATAGAAGATTAAATAGTAATAAGTGTTTTTTTACATCAAATAATAAATCCTATAATAAAAAATACCCTTTATCTCTCAAACTCCATACATATTTTAAGATTTCGATTTAAGATTCCTGCATGAAGATTTAAGTTATCAACCATGGGACATCCTTAGGAGACTTAAAATAGTATTAAGTTCTTTAATAGGATAGTAAATAGAAAAAGTGGTCGAAAGTGGGCATCTCCACACAAAATTATAATTATTTTGAGGGGGTGCGTCTGTCTAAATTTCCACATGGAAACAAAATCATAACCAGAAAACCTAATGAGAAAATAATATTAAGAATGGATTAAAAGAAGCGAAAAAGTTTGATTTGATTCCCATATCCTTACAAAATCATTATTTTGATTGAGAAAAGACACTTTTATTTTTCAAATACAACATGAATAAAATATGTGGATAATCTTTTTTATATTTTCTTATATATAATGTTTATATCTCATTAAATAAATAAATACAAATAATATTACGAATCTCAATAGAGTCAAAAGTTGATAAATAAAATATAAAGTTCTAAAAAATTATCTTCTTATTATTTTGTAGGAAATGAAAAAATTAAAATGTCATGACAATTAAAATGTTAAAATTGATAATAAAAAAAGTACATTACTTTTAATAAATTAATATACAAAATATTTATTAAAAATACTTAAATAATTTCATTAAAATTTTTAGTATTTAAAATGTCAAGACATTTTAATTTTCACTTATCTCTTCTTACAAAATTATAACAGCCAGATCATAGTGGGTATTAAAATAATTGTAATTACTTGTCAAAAGGTCATAGGTTTTGACAATTATATACTCTAGATCATGATTAATTTTGATTATGTTTTAATTGCATTCTTGATTGTGTATTAGAAGTTTTGGTCTACCCTTAAGTCCCATCCCAAAAAGATTCCAAATTACAGTATCAATTTTTTATTTTTTTAGCAAAATCACACTATCAAATAAATGATAATCAGTCACCACTCACAGCCACTTTGCCCACAAAAAGTGAAACCCATGAAGACTTGTGAATCATTTGAGTTGGTAAAAGAATGCATTTCTTCCTTATTTCCCCATATATTGTGTTTTTCCCTCTATTATTCTCTACTTCCAATGCGACAAGATTATTACTATTAAAGAGGGACTAAAATAAATACCAACCCAAAACTAGACAATTAAATTCCAGAGAGTTAGTCATTAAATTGCAAATTTATGAAGACAATAACTACCAACTTTGGATATCAATTATATACTATTTTCATCAAAAAAAAGTTATAATTTAATTGATAAAAAAATTTATTTTTTTATGTTATTAATAAGATTTAATTTATTGTAGAGACCAATAAATTTCTTGATCCTAAAACGATTAACATACTTTTTTAATCAAATTGAAAAAAAAATCAAAATTTATTGAAATTGACTCAAAAATATTCTTTCCTACTAAAAAAAAAAATACTATTCTTTGCATCTAAACAGATCAATTCAAATCCTAACAACAGTAAAAAGAAAAGACACTTTGAATTGGATGGTTTTTAGAGCATTCACGTCATTACATAAACATCAAAAAGGTCATGATCTAAATAAATCCTGAAAATATCCTGTGATATCCAACCCGCACTGTCTCCACTCTGACACAACCAGCCAGCTGCCATATGATATGAATGATGAATACTACTAGACCCTAAATAATCAAACATTTAGTCAACACATGTAGCAATCATTCTTAATGGCTTCAAATTCGGACATTTTATGTCATTGTAATTGAATCATAAGTTTCAACCATGATCTTCTCAAGGAAGAAAAAGAAAATAGAAATTAGTTCTACGTCGGTTCAATCAAAGACTAATTCAGAACATGGAATGTGTTTCCAAATTACCCAATAGAAAAATGCAACGATAATATAAGAATAATATTTTTT